CATTTAACTGCGTGCGTATAGTTAACTCTGTAACCGAAGCGGTAACGGAACAAAGGCTCGCCTGCGTCGTCCATCACTATCTAGGCGACGTAAGTAAACAAACTCCTGTAACCTACACGCGTCTGTGCCTGGTTAATTCCACCCCATCCATCACTACCCGCCTGCCGAACTCTAAATCTAAACACTCCGGTGTGAGTCAGGCGGCTGCCGGCTGCTGCTCTGATTCACGACAATATTATGGGGCGACAATTTAAATTCCAGTCAGGGAAAAAATGTCAATTTTCCACTTCTTCAGTGTTTCCCCTTTCAGCATAGAAAAGCAAGGGAAAAAAAGAGAACCACCCCGCCCTCTTCCTAGCTGATAAAACTGCTGACAAAACTGCACTATAGACGTTCATGACGCTTCCAGTCTACACACAGTTTTGGACCAACCTATTTTTACTGAATATGAGCCAACAGTATACTCTTGCTGCAAAAAAATACATCTCAACAGCATTTTGAATTGTACTAACAGGACTGTCACTTGCAAATCAAGAACTTTTTACTCTATTTAGCAATAGTGGTAAATAGTATCTAATTTATAGTGCATACAGTAAAGAAAGACAGACAGATTGCAAAAGTCCAGCAAAGAGCAATAAAAATGATTAGAGGCCTAGGACACATAATTTATTAGACTGAAATTAGGATTATTTAGTCTGGAAGACAGAAGACTGACAGAATTGACACCAGCCTTCACATACCTGATGGGGTGATATAAAGAGGATGGAGATAGACTATTCTCTGTGGCTGTAATGGACATGACTAAGAGCAATGGCCTCAAATTGCATTAGAAGAAATTTAGGTTAGAGCAAATTTAGGCCAGAGCTTTGGAAGAACTGTCTCACTATGAGGATGGTTGAACATTCGAGCAGCTTCCCTAAACAATCTCCATCCTTGGAAATTTTCAAGAGCTGGTTAGACAGATACTTGACCTCAATGTTTTAGGCCATAGACAGGCATTCATTTCACAGGATTGCTGTAAAAGTCTTAGCACTGGAAAAAGTGTTTGGGGAGTTTAAGCATACAAATCATTTGCAATGCGTAGGAGATGCACGTGCACTCCCTGAGATTGGCAGTGCACCCCCTGAGATTGGCCACTGCTGCTGGTGGCACCCACGGGTGGTTGCTGCTTGCCACCCCCTCTCCCTTGCTGCTGACACTGCCAGTGGCATCTGCGGGTGGTCGCCAATTGCCTCTGGCTGTTGCTGCCGACAGCGTCTGCAGGTGGTTGCTGATTGCCGCTTTCCACGACCCCCCAACACCACTGCAGCTGCCTGCGAGAGCTCCCTGCTCACCGCCGCCTGCGGGTGGTCGCTGTGCCCCCCCAGCCTTGGGAGGCACATGACGTTCATGATATAAGTGTTCTAGCCAGGTGAGGTCTTCAGCCCTGAGGTGCTAGAAGGCTGCTCCTTAGGTTACCTCTGCCTTTAGGAGAGCCCAGTGATTGAAAGCCTGTCCTCAGCTGGCTATAAGGATGGGTGGGGCAGGAGCGCCTGGCAAGAGAGGGTTGCAGGTCTCTCCTGGGACTAGCTGTGGGAAATGCCCTCTGCCCACGCACAAATCATTTTCCAGGTCTAGGCAGAGGCGGGAAGCAAAAGCCCAGGCCTTGAGCTTTCCTAGGATGATTCCAGGCTAGGGGAATGCCCTCATTTTGCACAGACCCGAGGTGACCTAGGACTGTTCAGTGTTAGGAGGTATTGGCAGCCACATCAGAGTCCGCACATGGCTTCCTGACAGCTTGCCCCTGGGTGGGCTATCCAGGAGCCAGTGCTTTTCTCCCTCTGTGTCCCTTGGAACAAGTGAGGGAGAGTTGGTTAGCAATGATCTTGCCTTGAGCAGAGATGTGGACTAGATGACTTCCTGGAGCGCCTAATAAAGCTTAAGTGGTCATTTGGTTTTGGCAATGATGTCCATTTAAAAATATAGACAATTCATGTGTGTATTTGTTGGCACCCTTCTCAACACCATAACCTCCCTGGTTCTCAGAGTCCATCATTCCTATCCCTCGTTCTGATGAACACCTACTGCTTCTTATAGTTCCAGGTTTATGATTTTCCACCTTTTGTTTCCTTCTCCCTCCTCCACCTTTCTTTCTTTTGCTCTAGCATAGCTAACATTTATAAGCAACCTCTAAGGAGGTAAAATATTTTCTTATTGGGTCATTATCAGTCCATGTAGATTAAAAAAGTTCTATTTCCCAAAGTGAACCCCATACATTCCTGACAAATAACTTTCATTAGTAACGTTCATATTGTGGCTCTCAGGATACATATGTTTTTCATCTCATCTCAACTATATTGAACACTTAATGAGATGAAGTGGTGTTTGCCTCATGGAGAAAAGAAGGTGGTTTAAAATGAAAACCACCAAGTACATTGGAGAATGATTTTTACAGTGGCAGGCAAGTGAAATATCTGACTTGACTTTTTGGATTAATAATGTTGTTTTGAGTCTACTTTTATTGGTCTCTTTTTTTATATCTAAATTACAGTTTATTTTTTATGTCATGGGAGTGCTCATGAGTCTTTAGTTATTAAAGGTTAAGTGGGAGGGATATTTTATAAATATACACTTACTGAGGCTATGAACAAATAGAACTTTTAACCTCCCTTAAGAGGGGAGGAGAAGCTGCCACTCAGGAATGCACATGAGCTGTTATAACTATTATGTTTTCATACTTCTGCACTGGTACAAGGTTGGATTAAATAGGGGTGAATTTGCAGTATTTTTGCTATGCCTGCATTGCTAAAGGTGCATACAAATGTAAATAACATCACAAGGGCTTATATTAGGGGTGCACTGATAGAAATTTTGGGGGCTGATACCAAGAGCCAATATTTAAGGAGGCATATCAGCTGATACCAATCCGATATAGCTGCTATCAGCTGGTAAGTCTGTTGTGGTGGAAAGGTGGGGGAAGGAGGTAGG